AAGATTTTTAAATCGACTAAACTGTATGTACCTTATCATATACTCGATTAAGAATACGAGGCACTGCAGCAAAAATCGTCGGCCTGAAAGAAAATGATTATCATAAAGTTCTTTCCATCATTATCAATAAGTCATACTGCGGCCAACAAGATTGCGTGGTCGTTGAAATAATTCATCAAATCAAGCGTCTCGTCGGCCATAAAACAGTAAATATTGTTTTGGCAACAACAACAAAACAGCTACATCAACAAAAAAACAATAATTGCATTCATAGTATGCCAACGATCTTACTTTAATGCCTGTATATCTTCCAGCAGTAGTTTTGGATCTCCACGATAAAATCCAATTCTGGCTCCACCACATAATACAAGTAGCTAGAACAAAATTGTACCGCGTTAAGATCAGATATGAGTCGCTAATAAGACGCGAAATAGGAACGAGTGATGGCTGAGACGAAGAGGAAGATGATAGAGGAAGAAATACAGCAAAAGCAACAACAACAAAAACAACAGCAACTACAAGAACATCATGAAGAATGAGGGCGAGGAGGAGAACAAGAAGAAGGAGGAGGAGAAGGAGAAGAAGAAGAAGAAGAAGAAGAAGAAGAAGAAGAAGAAGAAGAAGAAGAAGAAGAAGAAGAAGAAGAAGAAGAAGAAGAAGAAGAAGAAGAAGAACAAGAACAAGAAGAACAAGAACAAGAACAAGAAGAACAAGAAGAACAAGAAGAACAAGAAGAACAAGAACAAGAACAAGAAGAACAAGAACAAGAAGAAAGAAGAACAAGAACAAGAACAAGAAGAAAAACAACAGCAACAACAAGAACAACAACAGCAGCAACGAGTTGAAGAAGAAGAGCAAGAAGAACAAGAATTACGAACAAGAACAGAGTTAAGGATCAAAGATCAGTCTTCCCCGACACAGGAAGCCCAGATACTACTTGTTAATGTCTTCTTACATAGGCAGTGCGTTCATATATGTGTGCCAGCGGTAAATACGACAAGTAGGCGTCCTCGCTGGTTGAAAGTATTCCACACTATTACAAATTGAACAAAAAGTAATAAGAATTATAATTATAGTTTTTCAATTGGAATGAAAAAACATCTGGCACCAGTCTGTAAAGCTCTCTTGGGGATTGGTAGCCATCGTGGACCACAGGCTACCCAAGCAACTTTAAAATAGTGAGCTTTTTTTAATTGTATTTTACTTCGGGAGGGGAGGGGGTGAGTGGGGAATTTAGAGGGAGTTTTAAGGGTGCCCTAGAAGCCTCTTTCAAACCCAAGCGATCAATTAATCAGAATAACTGACCACTGTTGGGACTCGTTTAGACTTTGCTTAATCTCTTCAAAAATTATTGTTCTTGTTTTTCAATGATTCTAGATGGTTTGATCGTAAACCACTATTGATTTTACGTGAAAGCAATGCCAAATCATACCACTTCATAACTGTACAAAACAGCAGA